TTAGCAGCCAAAGAAGGAAATGTTGCTGAAAAAACACCAAGAAACTCGTAAATATATCGAAATAGTAAGACTCGACATGGGAAACAGCCCGAGCACTCTTCATGAAGAAAAAGGGGACGTTCTATACCTAATTTTTCGAACTTGCGAGGGATTGGGAGTTTGCTCGATTAGGGCACGGCCCATTTCCCTTTAACAACTATCATCCTCTCTTTCCACTTCTTTTCAAAAGTAGGAAGGTCTGTGCATATCCTTTGGTGCAAGGGGGAAGTGAAAAAGAAACGACAAGGTTCGATTCCATGCTTAGAAATAGAATAAGTAATCAGCAAGACAGCCAGAGTTAGGTCAAGACTCTCCTGCCACCGGCGAATGAGGAGTGCTGAGATTACTTGAAGGAAGTTAGGGTTTACTTGCAGGGGTCCAATCCCCAATTTGTTGGAGACTAAATGATAGAAGGGATGAAAGGGGAACCTAAGAGCGTTGAGATGCCCAATAGAGAGGAGCAACTCATCTTCTCCGACGCCCTCGCCGGAGCAAAAAATCAGCGCCTTTGGGGTACTCTGCAATTTCTTTCCCCTCGGGAATCTCAAATTCTTCCATTACGGATTCAATGGAAAATGGGATGCGACGAATAGATAGAATTGTACTCCTCTCTTCCTTAGTGAGGATATTGTCCGACCCGGAAGTGGATGTTTCAGCTTGGATCGGAGAAACACCTGGCTGATTAGCCGAGTCACTTACGGGTTTAGGAAAGTTCGAAACCCTAGGTGGGGGAACCCTAATGAGATTAGGGGAAGACGAGGGAGTGGACTCAAAATCTATGATATCTATACGTTCAGGAGTAGTCGAAGTACTCATAATGCAAGATCGAAGAGAAAAAGATGGAGAACTAACCTGATAAGATGACGGAGTGAAGAATGCAAGAAACGTAGTGAGAGCAAAAGTAACCCTTATAGAATCTCTTAAGGCAGAATGGCAAGGGGCAATCTTCGAAACGTCTTTTGGTAAAAAAGACAACCGTGAAACTTCAATTCCCTTTTTAATAGGAGCCGCAATTCAATTAAAGAGGGAATTGGGGGCAAAGTGTGCAGGGAAAAATCTCCCTCCAATAAGAGCAATCCACGTCATCATAAATATAACTTTATCTTCAATAAAGGTCAAAGCCCATTTCGTCAAAAGCCCAAGTTGAGTTGGTCATTAGCCCAAAACTACCGCTATCTAACTACGGGCTTTACTAAAGCTCGAATCAAGACGCCAGCAGTCATGTGTACCAAGTTAGATGCGGCCCAAATCCATTTAAAGAAGGAACCGGTCCTACAAGGAAAAGGATTCATCAAAAGAATAAGTTCTGTGTAAGGAAAATCCGGAAAGGGAAGAATTATAAAGAGGAAAGAATTCTATTTGTAAAGAAATTGATATATGGAAAGAATTAGAGGACAAGCAACGCGAGTCCTACCATAATTCTTCTAACTTTTGTATATAAATAGAGGCCCAAACCTCCAATAAAAGTATCCAAGCACTTCTACGCTTCTTTAGATACTGCTCTTATTTATTTTTACTATTCTTGAGTGTGTTGTATTATTTTTCTCAATTGTTATTGCTTGAGTAGAATTTTGCACTTACACAGATAAATTATAAATGAAAACTAATTTTTAGATTAATAGAACAAGCGATTGTAAAATTATAATCATATTAGTGACTGTAATTAACAAAGTCCTATATATATATATATATATATATATATATATATATATATATTGCCATTAGGATAAAAACGTAAAAGAGGTTATGTAATGTTAGGTTTTTATATCTAGATAAATTATAAATGAGAACTAATTTTTAGATTAATAGAACAAGCGATTGTAAAATTATAATCATATTAGTGACTGTAATTAACAAAGTTCTATATATATGTGTGTGTGCATATATATATATATATATATAATTTTGAGAAGTTAAAATAATTAAAGGGCACACTTTATTTTCACCAAAATTTAAACCCTCGACTTTCTTTTTGGAAACAAAAAAGAAAAAAGGTAATACTGCTGGATCACATGCTGTTTGGTCTTTGGTTGCAGAGAGTTTTATTGTTAAGCTGATGGGATTGGGACTTGAATGTCTCCCAGTGCAGTATACTATTATACCCTTATAAAGTGGAATTAATTATCACTTGTATGAAAAACAAAAAAGGAGAAAAGATGGTGATGGCACTGATGGAATTGGGACTTGAATGTCCGTAGTGCAGTATACTATTATACCCTATAAAGTGCAATTAATTATCACTCGTATGAAAAACAAAAAAAGGAGAACAGATGGTGGTGGCACTGACGGGATTGGGGCTTGAATGTCCCTAGGGTTTGGGAAGGCGTCACTTCATTTGAATTGGATAAATTATGACAGGGCAGTGAAATTTAACCATAAAAAAATATTTAATAGGATTCGAATTTCATACAATAAACTTGTTAAATTTCAAAATCCAACGAAATAAATCATTGGCCATATTCAAAGTAAATTTTATTCTTGTATTATGATTACATGTTCTTGTGCTTTTCTTAACCGTAAAAATTAAGTTGTAAAAAATAATGTCCAATGGTTACATACATGTGTAATTTATTCAGGGACCATTAAGGTTTGGGTACATACATGTGGACTTGTTTTATTTTTGTTGTATATTAGTTAATTTTTATAAAAAGAGTTTGAAAAATATTTTAGGTTCCCAAGGCGTGACTAGTAGATTTGGAAATCGGGCAATTAATATGAAATATTATTTTAAATAGAAATGCATACGATTTAAATCCAACTTATTTTCCATACCCATCACATCCCAATTTCAACCTCATTTTCAATTCCAACCTTCTTAATTTTAATCATCTCAATTCTAATCTTCTCAAATCCAACATAATTTAAGAAGTTCGAAAAATAATTGGTCCATGGAAGAAGATGAAATATTATGCAAAGCATGTATTGACATTGGGAAGATCCAATAACGGACGGAGTCCGATCAACAAAAAAATCAAACAAAATAGTTAATAATTGTTTTAATAAATAAATTAAAAAAAAATAAAATAAAATTTAATTTTTTATTTAATTTTTAAATTTAAATAAGGCTTTAAATCATAAAACCCCCACTACTCTCAATTTTGATCATAAAACCTAGCCTGTTTCTACAACTCCAATATTATTATAAAGTTATCACATTACTCCAATATTCGTGTCCGACCTGTTAATCGGAGTTGTGAAATGACAAATTTGACCTTACTATTTAATGTTAAATTAAAAACTAAATATTATTATTTTTTAAATTAGAAAAATAGAGGGATGTGATCGGTAAAGACACAATTAGAGAATCCAATTTGTCAGAGTTACCTCCAAAGTAAGTAACCGAAACCCTAGAGGCAAAAGGGGTCAATTTTTTTCAAGAGGGTATTTTTGTAATTTAAAAAATAATAATTTTTTATTTTTAATTTAATATTAAAAATAAGGTCAAATTTATTATTTTACAGCCTAATTAACGGGTATATTGAGATAATGTGACAACTTTTTAAAAATATTGGAGTTTTTAAAAAAGTTCCTCACAAAGATGCTATCAAATTGCTACATGTTAAGAGATAATGGTGAATCTCTTGACCTACTCACACCTGCTCCTGAAGTTCACCTACTCTTCTGGACGCTTTACTTCTAGAAGGTCAGGAAATGGAGTTATCGTAGCCACGAGAGTCGAGAACGGGCTGAGATTAGTGTACATAGAGGAGCTGATGGAGCACGCTTGGAATCGTCATGTCGTCGGAGTCTCCGAGGTCGTTTACGATATGATTGCAGGGGCTGAGAGAGAAAGAAGAGAGTAAGGTGACTGCCAAAAAAACAAAAAAACAAAAAGAAAGAAAAAGAGTTAACTAGTAAGAAAATGGGTAATATTTATCTTTAATAATTTTTAAATTTTTAATAGATGCATAAATTATAGGGTAAAGTGTAAAAAAATACTCCCTTCAACTATTGCCTTTTTACGATATGATTGCAGGGCTGAGAGAGAAAGAAGAGAGTAAGGTGACTGCAAAAAAAATAAAATAAATAAATAAATAAATTTAGCCAGTAAGAAAATGGGTAATATCCTCTTTAGTAATTTTTTAATTTTAAATAGATGCAAAAATTATAGGATAAAGTGGCAAAAAAACTCCATTCAACTATTGCCTTTTTACAAATAACCTCCCTAAACTACAAATTGTTTCCTAAATTATTGATTTGTTGCAATTAAGACAAATCCATCTCAAAATATTATTTTACCCTTTCTCATTACATTTGTCATTTCTTATTAAACTATTTTTATTATCTTTTCTCTTATCTAAATATTAATTATATCATTTATAATAATTTTATTATTAGTATCAATTTATCATAAAAATGAAAAAATAAAAAAATAAATTTGTAACTACCATTTTCTAAAAGAATTAACTTATTATTAAAATTTTATTATTTATAATAAAGCTTTTTTTTTTTACTCACTATAAACTATTTTACCATAGAATACCTTCTTTTACTTGTAATATATTTATGAAAAATTAATAAATACTTAAATAAAAAAATACCATCTTTTTATTCAATAAATTCATTAAAAATTAAGAAATTACTTTAATTGTTTTAAAATTTTCTACTTAAGATTGTTATTTAAAAATTTAATTTCAAAAAATAAATAAATTTATGCAAATTTAATGAAAAATATGTCATTAAATTAGTATGAATTTTTATTCATAATTTATTTTAACAAGAAAAATAGATTAGGTGTGATTCAATAAAAAATGACATTATGGTCATTTAATAAAATATAGTCAATGCATTAGAGCATTTTGCAACTAAATGTGATAGTTCAAGGGATTTTATGCACAAAATATACTTCAAGGAAGTTATTTACAAATTTCAACATAGGTGACAGATTTTTTGTACTTTACTCTACATTTTATTGGAGTACAAACTTCATCCTCCTAGGAACCAAGTGTTGTCCAAAAATTTACGCTCTAATGTGCCAAGATAAGTTTATTATTGTAATAACTTACACCATGAGAGAAGCATGCCATAAATTTTAGCACTTGGCACACAATACTGGGACATAGATACTCGGACAGGATGAAATAACAGCGACCAACTATTGGTGGGCACATTCTTAAAAAATACATAATCAGAATTCTTGATAACTTGACGAGCCTTCAACTATTTTCGTATCATAGGAATAAGGCACAGTGGTTCTTTCTTTTTCACGAAAACATCAAACATCTCATTCATGTTAATCTCCGAAGGATTCATGTTGCCTGGAAGAAACCAATCAAAGTGGTGGACTAAAGAAGCTAGCACTAGAGGAACTACCCTTGAAGCCAGAGGTATTCCAGGACACATTCTTCTTCCTGAACCAAATGGTATGTATTCGAAATTCATTCCCTTGTAGTCCAACCCTGACATGAGGAATCGCTCCGGTTTGAAGCTCCATGGATCGTCCCAAATGGTGGGGTCTCGTGCAATTGCCCACATATTCACCTTCACTTGACAGCCCTTAGGAATGGTGTAGCCCATCACCTCACATGTTTGTATGGCGCGACGTAGGATCAGTGGTCCGGGAGGGTGCAACCTTGGTGTCTCCTTAACACAGGCTTCAAGGTAAGGTAACTCTGACAAATTGGATTCTCTGATTGTGTCTTTGCCGATCACTTCTGTGAGTTCATTGCGAAGTTTCTCCATGGCCTCTTGATTTCTAAGAAGTTCTGTAAGCGCCCATTCAGTCGTTGCACTTGTAGACTCTGTACCACCAGTAAATAGCTCCTAGAGAAGAATGAATATATGTTTCATATAATTAGTCCACTTGTTACGAGTGTGTTAAATATAAAGGGATAATTATGGAAACATGGAGTGTTGGATGATGATACACAATGTCATGAAATCTAAATCGATCAATTTTTTTTTCATGATTCTTCAAAAAGTATTGGTGTACATGGAGGTATCACTATTATGTGTGTAAGTTCAACTCTTATTATCTAAAGTACTATTTTTGTATCTATATAAGTATTACTATAGTGCAAAGATGTTCCATGCATGGGAGGTACCGCTTTTCAGATATGCCATTTTGATGACTTGTTTTGCACAAAAATGTTATTTACCTACACAAGAATGGTAACTTTATGTACAAGAGTCGTTTTTGCATACACAAAATTGGTACTGAAAATTAGTCTCCAAAGTTCTATATTTTTGTAATTATATTATTGTACCTAATAAATAAATAAATATATATATATATATATGGTCACATGCACATATATATAAAAATTTAAGGTTATAAATTCCTGCTAAAGCTTAGATTATGTAAACATATTTTTCTATGTTTTTCGAGAGAGAGAGAGAGAGAGAGAGTTACCCAAAGCAATGGATTGATCTGCTGATTGGTTAGCCCCATTCCAATCAAAGCATCGATGCAAGCTGGTGTACTTGAAACATCATTTTTATTTTTCCTCCTTTCTTCTGCAATGTCAATCCAAAAAGCAAATATTTTCTCAATACTACCCATCAACTTCTTATAAAATCTTTGCAAATCCCATCCACTCAAAATAGGATACAAGTCTGATAATTGTGGAACACCACCCAACTCCGCAGATCTCCTCATGTATTGGGACATGCGCTCACCCAAACCCTTGCCCTCAAAGTCTGTTAAATCCATTGAAAAAAAAGCATTACCCAAGATATTTAAAGCACAAGCAAATCCTATATCTTTTATCTTCACCACTTGGCCTGACTTTGCACCCAAATATTTCACCAAGTCCATCACGTTCTTCTCCCTAATTTCCACTTGGGATTGCATGGCTTTGGTCGAAAAGAGCTCTGTCCGGCAAATGGTCCGTAGGATTCTCCAACCATCGTCGCACTCGTCGCAAAATCTAGGACATAAGTTGTGAAGTTTTGAACCCTTTACCTTAATTGGATCAGACACCATCCGTCCTGAAAGTGCACGGTCATTGATCTTCAGAATTTCTGCAGCGGCTTCAGGGGACGACCCGACCACCACCAGCTGTGCACCGAACCGTAGTGACATGAGTGGACCATGGACTTTGGCTAGCTTGGCAAGGTTCACATTGGGACTCTTACCCATTTGGAGGATGTTGCCTAAGATAGGCCATGCATAGGGACATGGTGGAAGTGGTTTTTTGGGTGCATTAATGCTCTTGAAGATGACAAAGGTAAGGAAGGAGAGTAGGATGAGAGGGAAGAAGAGATTGGTCTCTCCTGTTACTAGTGTTGTTACTTCCATGATGGTTTTAGTGACACTACAACTGAATTGCTTCATCACCATTGCTCTATATATATATATACAGTGAGGGGACCCAAAAAATTTTGTAAGAGGGGCAGGCGTTTTTTAATTGTGGGGACAAACTTATACAGTGGATCAATTTTTGTAAATTTAATGGGTTTTCTTCATAAATTTTAAAAAATTGTTAGTATAAAATGCAAAAAAATAATATTCAGTGGGGTGAATTGGAATTTTAGTAAGAGCATCTCCATAAACTCTCAAAAATTATAAAACGCAAAAAAATATAATCCAGTGGGGGCAAATTATAATTTTAGTGGGGACATCTCCATAAATTCTAAAAAAAATTGAAGTATAAAATGAAAATATAAAAAATTCAGTGGTCCTATGTTGGGTCTGTGCCTGTATATATATATGTATATATATATATATATATATATATATATATATATTTATTGTCCTTAAATTTAGGGTTGGGAGTTCATGTTGGAGAGTTGTATTTGTGTCGTGTTAACATATGGATATCGTGTTAGATGGGTCGATATCAATGCAATACAATTATTATTGGTGTCAAGAAATTTTCACACAAACACGACAAGATTATTATATGGGTAACAAGACACGCGACGCATAATATATTGATTAAATGAGTGAAAATTTGTTTTAAATATTTTTAACATGAACATGACACGTTTCTCTAACACATTTAGTTAAATAGATATTTTTAACATGAACATAATACATTTATATAAAACGTTTAAACACGTTAGTGGGCTAAACCCGAACAAAACGCGTTTAATTACCATCTTAATTTGGTTTGGACACGATAACAACTCGAACATCTTTATGTCAAACTTTAAATCATTTATTTGGTGTAATGTTTAAGTCGTGTCAAATGTTGCCACCCTACTCAATTTTTGACTAGACTTTTAATGATCACTTTGTAGGTGTAATTTTTCACACCTGAACACTTAAAGAAATAAATCAAAGAAACTATACGAAATATAAAGGAGATAACATACAATTTTGGCAAGAGAGAACAATGATAGGAATTCAATCATTTTCTTTTCTTATTCATGCTTTATTTACAAGCTCGTATAGAGATTTACATAGAGTCGTTATTGGCAGTTTTCTTTCTGAATGTGGGTGTTTATGGCCCCTTTCTAATGCGGCCCTCTCTTTTATGGTGGGCGTTATGGAAGTTTGAATGTACTGATTCTGGGCCATTCCTTGGTCCGTTGCTGCTAAATGGACTCTCCCTTGCTAATTGGGCCGAATTGGCCTTTTTTCAAGTCTTCCTTGTTGGGCCTCTGGCTTTTAGGCTATTCTAATATAAAGTGAGCTTTATATTTGCTAACACGTTGTATATTATGATTGGTGGGGATATTTCCCTCCACACTTTGCTCCCAATTCCTTTTATGAATTGTATTCATGTATGGAATTGTAATTGTTTTCAGGAAGTGGAGAAATTTCTGCGGATGTTACTGCTCATCATTGCCATTTGTGTTCCCTATTTATAGGGTTTCGTGCTTGCTTCTTCGATATCTGCTTAACTTTATCTATGTATTGCATTCTTATCATTCGGAAGCCTGCACCTGTGATCTCGTCCTTGACTTAAGCAAGAATCTGTCTGCCGCTGCATAATCCTCTTTCCATCCATTAAGGTTAGTCATTCTTTCGTTCCCTCTTTTTGTCATTATGAGTCAAGAGAGTAGCGAACGAACCTATAGCGTTCGTGTGTCCGATTCCGAATCGGGGACGCCGGCGGTGAGTTCGAGTGGTCACGTTAAGGGGGCAATAGTTCTTTCCCCAGATATTGTAGAGAGGAAGCCTTTCTCTATTGCATAGTTGAGAAAGAAAAATCGTGTCCCCTCTAACGTTACCCTAGAGGAGTATGACCATGATTTAAATTTCAGTACTGGCACTACAACAAATTAGGGTTCTTGCCACAAGACACTTCGTGGCAAAAACCTTCAAATTTCGTGGCAAAAGCCTTTTAGCCACAAGAAATAGCTCGTGGCTCAGTCATGGGCGTAGCCCGTCACAGATTGCAAATAACCACGACTAAAAATTTTCGTGGCAAAATGTAAAACTTTTGCCACAAAATTTGAACTCGTGGTAAAATACCTCCTATCACCACAAGCTATTTCGTGGCTAAATACCAATACTTTCGTAGCAATTAACAATCTCGATATAGGAATTAATCGTGGCTAATTCAGTACTTTTGCAACGAAAATATATATCATGGCTAATTTAACCCTTTTTCCACGGAGTTCATTCATGGCTATAAATCTTAATGCCCACGAATATATGTCGTAGCAAATATCCAAAAAGACCACGGAGTTCATTTGTGGCTATAAATCTAATTGCCCACGAATATACGTCGTGGCAAATATCCAAAAAGGCCACGGAGTTTATCCGTGACTATTCTATTATTAATAAAATAAATTTTAATTTAATAGCCAAAAATATATATTATGGTAAACACTAAAAATATGCCACATATTTATTGTGGCACGATAAGAATTTGTAGCAAATCTGTAAATTATTAACATTATAAACATAAGAAATAATATAAAAAAAAATAAAAAAAAAAAATTATCACATCAACACGATTATGCAAACAAATAAATACTTGATATTGCGTAAGTTACACCAACCAAAAAATGTATTGTTTACAACATACATAATAAAGCCCATCAAGTAAAAAATTGAGTCTTCGCATCTAAAATAATTTCAAACTCCAATAATTTGGACCAAAACAAGTTAGTATCTTAAATAAAATGTTTCAAGATCTTAGACAAAAATAAGCAATAGATTCCTAAACAAAGGGTTCAAAGACCTGGACATGCACTACTTAAACCATCTTAAACAAAAAGAGTTTAAAGTCTTGTAGCATGAACCCATCCAAAAATCTGCAAAACAAACAATGAATAAATACAATTACTAATTTTTATTGCCTTGTTTATATTTACATTAAATTAGTTAAAGAATTGTTAGAATTTAAATGAAGAGTAGTGTTGGAAAATGAAACCAAAAATGCTGATTTTAGAACTGAAATCTCTATACTTAAAAGTGTTATCTTTTAAATTAAGTTTTAGATATGAAAGTTCAATTGTTAATGAGTTTACATGATTTTGTTTGGCTCAAATTGATTGAATTTTGAAATTACTATGGATTTTTGAAGTTAATGTTAACATGCTGTCAAAAATAGTTTAGTACTTTGATAACAGTTTTCAAGACTTCAAAAACAACGAACCATTTTAAGAGAACTAGAAAAGAAAGTTGTCTATATCATACATTTTTTAACTCAGTTTTCACAGATAGTTTTTGAGATAAACGGCAACCAAATGAATATTATTTTTGAACTTTATTCTGTTTTCAAGTGCTCTTAAAACTATTCCCAAAAAGCTAAACCAAACAGGCCCTAGATTTCTGAATAGGAAGATTTCAATAATCTGGGATACCCATAGAACAAAAATATGAAATTAAATAATTGTGACTTAGTTCGACTGAACATGTATTTCAAAATTTTCTTTTGTTTTCCTATGATTGCTCGTTAACAGATTCATGTATCAATTAATAATTGGGTAAGGTAACTTAATTCGCAACAATATCCGAGTGCAAATTCAATAAATTAGACCTTAGAACCAGCGAATGAAAGGGGAAAAAAAACCCTAGAAAAAATTAAGAATTACAACATATATATATATATATATATATAGAGAGAGAGAGAGAGAGAGAGACAGAGAGAGAGAGAGGAGATAATACAAAGAGAGATACCTCAGAGGGGATCTTGAAGGTTTTTCTTTTGGAAGAAGAATTCTTGGTACCCATTTGGCAGGGTTTGATGATCTTTCCTCCACCTGCAACAACAATCAAACCACAAAAGACAAAAAGAGGAAACAAAAACAGAGAAAAGAGAAGAAAGAAAATCCAAGTAACGGGATACAACTTGTGAATGCATTACATTACAACAAGCTAAACACACAAGTTCATAGGGTAGGCACAACACACAATTTGCAACGGAAAAAATATTTAACTTTTTAAGCATAGAATGCATTGCCAAGGACTACCATGTGGATTAAACATGATAGTGGAGATAAAATATAAAAAATATATATATATCTTACCAAGCACATCTTAAGTTATTTTATATTTCATTCTCACTTTCTTAAAAAACCAAACATGTAAATCGTAATTTCCCACCAAATAGCAATGAAAAAGAAGAAAACTCTAACCTTTGTTGTAAACTGAAATCATTAATTTTGTTGCTCCGGAAAAATAAAGACATAAATAAAAGAAAATAAGTACTTGAAAATCAAATCCTTTTATCACATGGTAACCAGTAAAACAGAATCATCAATTCAACAAGGTTCCAATATGCACTACTTTCTTGTTAAAGGTGTGGCCATGTCCCATTAATTAAACATAGTAATGTAGGTTATCAAATTGTGATTACACATTGTGAGAACCCACTACGCATTTTTGTGCGAGAGAGAGATGCAAAAAGGTTTACTTAATTGAGACTTGACCCTTTTTTTAATGACAACGAGTGAAATTTAAACTGTAGGTACTCACTCTATTGAAATTCATGTTTATGAATAAAGCAATTACTATATAATATTACTCATTATATAGGAAAGGGAAAATTTGGAAAAGCACAATAAATTAATATGGTTAATTTGAACATCCTAATGTGAACAGTGTAAAAGGTGAACTTACCCAGCATGCTAGCTTTAACATCACAATAGCTGCCTCTACAGAGATTAATAAACTTTCAAGCACCACCTGGTGACAATCTAGATAGACATGATAATAAACTTCTGCTTCAGCAAGCATACACATGATTATAAACAAGTTAGTCAACCCACCATGATAATAAACAAGGAATTGGTTTTATCGTAACCTTATATTAAATTGTTTTTCATAGAAAAAAGGAAGTATCAACCTGATAATAAATAAGTAGGGATAAATAGGGGAACAATCAGTATCTCTTTGCACGCTTCATCTACAAATTCACCCAATAATCCTTCAATTGGTTTCTGACATATAAATATATAATTTATAGACTATAGAGAGAGACAGAAATTGAGAGAGAGAGAGAGAGAGAAGTAGTTATAGAATAGGTACTTACGGCTATCAGCTATGGAAAATTCAGAGATTGGATCAACAAAGTATACAGACAAGTGCTATAGACATTAGTATCTACAAAGTATATGCCAATAAATATGAACAATAATTTGAACTCAATTAATTAAAATTTAACAACTCAGTCAAATGGAAGAAGGGAAAGAGGAGCTAATGATTACTTGTACTTCTACATATGTTCATGTATATTTGTGATTTGTGTGCATGTATATTTAAATCCAAACCATTCCACTGGAAATAATTGTCAATGGCAAGAAAAAAGTAGGATCATGGTGAGGAGGTGGTCCTAGCACGATTTGGGGGCATTTTACTTCAAAAAATTCTAGTAGAACAGCTGGAGATTTGGTTCAGACAATTTTACAAGCACCTTGAGTGCACATTTCTGAGCTTCATTATCTCAGCAATAGTCTTTATAACCCATATCTTCAACGTCTCCTCTTCCTCTCCTTTAAATCACGAAACCTTTTTCATTAATTCACAAACATAAAACATAATAGAACTCTAATTAAACCTAGGGCTTCAAGAAAATCAATAAATTGCATCAAATTAATTTAGTAAAATCCTCAAATCCCAAAATTCCCAGCTGATTTTTCATCACAATTACTTATCCACATACGGAGATAAATATTCCGCCAACATTTTGAGATGAAAGATAAGAGAGAACATTTACCTGTAGAGTTCTGCAATTTTGGTCGATTGCTGATCTTCAAGTCCTTACTCAACATCAATAGACAAACGAGGTTGTGAAGGAGCCAGGGCGAGAGTGAGAGTGAATGATGGAAGAGGGAGAACACTTACCAGCGAAGATCCAGAAGAGAGAACGATCCGATGTGGCCGCTAACATGATCAGATGATGCTATGGAAGGGAGCGTCCTTACGAGAGAGTAGAGGAAATGAGAGAATTAATGTAAAAGAATGAGGTATCTATCTCGATTTAGTATCCCAATACGAAATAAATCTCATTTTCCTTCTGCCAAATTTCAGGCGCCAAACTTTGGCGCTCCTGCATTTAGCTAAAAAAATAAAAAATAAAAGATTATTTAAATATAAAAAAATTTATAACCTGTTTAAATATTTAGAACTTTTTATAAACCATTTAAATAAATAAATTATTTTGTTAAATAGTATGATATATTATACTACAAGTGTTATATAAGTTTCATACAAATTAAATTAATTTTCATACATAAGTAAATTTATTTATATATATTGTTTTCTCAATATGGCATACACTAATTGATAGTGAAATTCATCCTTATTAATGTTTTTTACAGTTTGTTTTGCATAGGTGTTTAATAAATATGAGACTAATAGACTTAGTATTCTCTCTAATGACACTAATATAAGTTCGATTTACTATATTTTAAAAACCTATATTAAAAGGAAAAATTATTACTAAGTCCTACTTTTATCATTGAGAAACAAATAAATCCTAAAAAATTTCATCATGAGCAATAAGTCCTTTTTTTAAATCTTTTTTTCCCATTTAAGTCCCAATATATAAATAGATACTCTTTTATTAGCGATTGAATTATTTTTTAAAAAACGTATGTATATTGAGGCACTTAGAATCGAGTTTGGAAAAATCCGAAGCGCGAAATTTTCCCGCTTCAACGCACTTAAAAACTTTTGGTAAAAAGCAAAAAATAAATAAAAATTTTTTAAAAATATTTTTAATATAGTTTTCCTTAAAATGTTTTATAAATGATTTACATATATAAATAAACTACTTATTATATGTTATCATATTTAATTAAATCAACTTAATTAATAAAATAATTAAAAAATTTAAGTACAAGTAATTTTATTTTTTATAATATAATATGTTTAAATTTAAGTTTTCTAAACATTTTACATTTTATATATGATTTTCAGACAAAAAAATATTTTAAAAGAAATGAAAAACTTATCAATTAATGGTATGAATTGTTATTATTGCATTTGTATATATATATATACACGTACGTCAACTTTTTGAAGGAGTGTTTATGAATATTATATATTTATATATATATACACATTCATATTAATGTTTCTACATTTGATTTTATTAATCTAATTAATTTATATATTTAAGTAATAAATAATTATAAATTCCAATTATACATAATTTTACCTCCTATTCGGGATCAAAAAATGCTCGGGACTTGGCTTGGCCAAGAAATTCACTATAAAGAAAGAGAGTACAACGAGTCTAGTTCAACATGATACCTCCAGACTCAGCAAGACAGCAAATCCTCAATGTTGGTTGAATTATATATATATATACACACCAATGTAAGGTTGATAATAAAATCAGATTTGACTAATTAATATGTAATGAGTAAATACCGGGAAAAATTATTTTGAAAATATCTTTATTTCAAATTTTTTTTTTTTTTTTTAATTTAGCCAAAAACAGCAAAAACAATTTTCATAAGAAATGAACAGGTCATAAAGTCTTTTATCCAGTCATGGTAACAAAGGCCTTGTGGATGAAAAATAAGTTCAGTGCCTTAAAGTTTACTTTCTAGAAACCAAAATAAATCATATGATTGATATGCATGGTCCTAGCATTTCTAACCCAAGTGTTGAGTTCTTTTAAAGCTTATGCAAGCTTGAACTAACTCATTCTTTAGCAATAACTTCATATGTCAAATATATATATATATATATATATGATGAAGTTTATAGTCAATTCCTAATGGTTTTAAGACTCATATGAATGATGTACTGATATGCCTTGTCCAATAGAGATAAGCTTTAAATGGATTTCATCATATATATATACATTTGACATATGGTCCTATAGAGATAAGCTTTAAATAGATTATTAAAGAGTTTAACATTGAATTCTAAATACTTACCATCCTATCTATTGTTTTCTTCAAGCTTTGTCCATAATCATTTATGCTTTGAGGTTTCTTGCTTCTTCCTTTCTTTGAGTTACTTGCTTGATAGATCATTGTTGTCCAAGTTATCATTGGATGGACTTGCATTTAGCTCTTTGTAACTTCACAGCTTCTTTAGCTCTTTGATATAATCTTAAATAATGGAATACTTGGAATTAATCTTTATTGCTTCATTGAGGTCAATCTTTGAATGTAGATAATCTATAACACTCAATATAGATATTAGTCTATACACATCATTAATGATTTGTAATTATAAAAACAATTAGATTATCCTTGGATGAAATTCTTAAGGTCAACATAGTACAATGTTGTAATAATAATTATAATGTTTTAAGATTTAATATTAATTATTGTATCCAACTTAGTGGTATGAAATTAAGTTCACTAAAAGTTATCTCAATCTGAAGGTGATCAATTAATATATAATAGAATAGGTCGTATAATAAGTTAATTATTTTGTAATTGTAAATTTATTCAAGATTTGATATCTGATCTATATTTTTTATTATATCTTTAACTTTTAATTACTTATAAATATTGCATTATGGATTTATATCTATATATATATGATTAATTTAAATTCAATATAAGAATGTTTGGTACATTTTTTTTTTAATCTTTTCTGTATGACAAGTAGTAGTATTTAAAAAGGGTCACATTTAAAAGAAATACCATTTTGGATTTTTATTAACAATTAATTAATTTGCTTAGGGATTCAGTGTTCTAGGCCTCTTATTTAAGGAATTACAAAATCTAAATAAATAAATAAATAATAGTCAAAAAAGATATCCTAATTGCCACGAAAACAAATTCATTAACAAAAATGGCATTTCGCCACAAGAATTGAAAATTCGTGACAAAATAGTTCCTAATTGCCACGAAAACAAATTCATTGTAAAAAAGGCATTTCACCACAAGAATTGAAAATTCATGGCAAAAGATATTATTTGCCACGAATAAAGCATCGTTGCGAATAATTAATAGATTTGGCACGGAAATAGTTTCGTGGCAATAGAGCATATTATAGCCACAATTAATAATTCGTGGTAGAATCCATCTTTTAGCCACGAGAAAAAAACTTCGTGCCAAAAAATTATATTTGCCACGAGAATAACATCATGGCAAATTGTAAAGTGATTTGCCACGAAAATATATTTGTGGCAAAAGAAACATACAATTGCTACGAATAGAATTTCGTGGCACAAATAGCATTTTGCCACAACTTTGTATGTCGTCCCTAATTCGTCGTGGCAAAATTAACATTTTACCACAAATTTTTAGGTCGTCCCTAATATTCATGGCAAGAACAAGTATTTGCCACGAAAAATTTACTCCGTGGCAAACACTTATATATTAGCCACAAGAAGTTTATTTTGTGGCTAAAAGGTACTTTTTGCCACAAAATTTTATGCGTGGCAAAAAATTTCGTGGCAAGAGCCCAAATTTGTTGTAGTGTGGTGAGGGTTTAGGAGAGGGCGAGATGCTCTTCTCGACTTTGCACTTTCCTGTTTTTCGATTTCCCCTTAACCCATTCTATCTTCGTGTTTTGTCGGTGTTGAATTTGGCTCCCCTTTAAATTAACCCTAACTTTTTTGCGTATTCTCTCTTGCCTTCTTGCTTTGAATAGGGTTTGAGGTTTGACCTTGAATCTTACTGATCTTCTATTCTGTTATACGCTCAATAGAATAAAAAGTGAAGAGGGTAGATTTCACTTTCACTCTAGGACGGGTAGAGCTCTTTTTACTCATCTTAACACTTCTGATAAGGAGTGGAAAGATAAAACTGTTAAGGTCGGAGGGGTGTGGCGCTCCTCTTCCGCTCGGGATTTCTCTATCCGGACGAGCTTTCATGCCCCATCTGTTTATGCGTTTGATGATTCGGGCGAGTCTTCTTGCTTTGTCTATGTTGTAAAGCATTTCTATTATATTTATGACTTCTTGGGCCATAAAGCTGACTTTTTCCTTCGAAATTTACAGATATCCGACTTGAGTATTTGCAGGCTAGTGTCTGGATTGACACTTCTTCCGCTCGGGTCTTGCTTTCTTCTTCCCTTCTTGAGGCTATTTCTAGAGATGTCCCTGTGATTGTTCAGAATCTTAAGGAACCTATTAACCTTGTGGCCTCTGATACTAAGACTGATTTTGTTTCGCCTGCCCCTTTTCTTCTTTCTCAATTTGTAATGGAACTTCCCCCTCCTAAACCTCATATGACCAGGAAAGAGAGGAAGGCAACTGCAAAGCTATTGCAGGAGAGGAAGAATGCCCTTACTGTGGCGAGTAAGTTTTCCCTTTCTCAAAAACAGAAGGGGGTTCAATTGGGAAGGGGAGCAAACACCTTTTTGTGAGGGATAATCCTCCTTCCAAGCGCTCCAAGCTTATGGCTGGGGCTTTTGGAGGCAGAAGTGCCCTGGTTCCTAGTTCAACTGATGTTGTAGGGGGGTGACTTTGTGAGGTTTGCCGAAAGGTGGTTCCCCAAGATGCTGAAGGTTGATGGCTCCCCTATTACTATTGGTAAATCTAGAGCCAAGGACCCGGAGACACTGATGGGCTTAGCTAGAGGGATGTGGCTGCCCAGGGATGAGATTCTGCAGTAGCAGATGAGTGTTGAGAATCTCCTTTCCCTTGCTCCCAAGTCCATAATAGAGGTAATATTTCCTGATTCCTTTCTTTTACTTATTTGTTTTAGCTTCTTGATAACACTTTGTTCATTTTTTGCAGAACTCTTTCTTGATGTTTGCCTTTATGAAGAAGCTGTTAGCTGACTCTCTTCA